TGTATGTATGTATGTATGTATGTATGTATGTATGTATGTATGTATGTATGTATGTATGTATGTATGTATGTATGTATGTATGTATGTATGTATGTATGTATGTATGTATGTATGTATGTATGTATGTATGTATGTATGTATGTATGTATGTATGTATGTATGTATGTATGTATGTATGTATGTATGTATGTATGTATGTATGTATGTATGTATGTATGTATGTATGTATGTATGTATGTATGTATGTATGTATGTATGTATGTATGTATGTATGTATGTATGTATGTATGTATGTATGTATGTATGTATGTATGTATGTATGTATGTATGTATGTATGTATGTATGTATGTATGTATGTATGTATGTATTGAGAGAGACAGAGTTCGAATAATTGATCAATAGCTAGATAGATAGTAAGACAGAGTGGGGGTAATGGTACGCGAAAAAAAGAGAAGAAAAGTAAACCTCCTATCAATCTAATCGTTTATTTTTGAAATGCGATGCATAAAGAATGTAAACAAATCCAAAATGAGATATGGTAATAAGCATATACCAGTTTATCGTCGCATGATAAAAAATAATGAACCAGATCATCTTGACAGACCTTTAACACAAATAATTCTCTCTCTAACCACATTTTTTTCATCAGTCCCATAAAACTTCGAGCGGCCTTTTTAACAGATGAAGTCTCTGGCCAAACAAAGGCTTCACACCCACTGAGCTGAGGGCTATTAGGAGTGAGAACCTCTGTGACCCATTATCCTGTCGTTTTCAAGTAGGTGCCAAAATCACACCCTATTAGGCAGCCCTTAATGACGGGGCTTGATTTTATTAACCAAATTCATATTCATTTTCTATGCTTTAACGATTTTCACCTGTGTGGAATAGGCGTGGTGGAATCGTTATTGTTTTATCTTGATCGATTTTGGTTTTCGATTCGTGATGATGAGAGTGAGGGATATGGATGATAAAAGCGATAATGATAAAGTTGATATAAAACAAAAACAAGAACAACAATAGTGATAATATCTTAATGATGATGTTTTTTTTCTGTTATCATCACTACTAATATTATCATTATCATAATTTTCAATATCACCATTTTCTATTGCTATTGTTCTTTCTTCTTTTCATTATCAATATCACCATTAGTATTATATCACTGTTATTATTATCATTATCGTCATTATCATTATTACTATCATCATCATTATTATTACTGTTATTATCATCATTTGTATCATTATTATTATTATTGTTGTTGTTGTTGTTATCATTATTACTAGTATTACTGTTATTATTATCATTGCCATTGTTATTATCATCATTTGTATCATTATTATTATTATAATTATTATTATTGTTGTTGTTGTTGTTGTTGTTGTTGTTGTTGCTATTATCATTACTAGTATTACTATTATTATTATCATTACCATTGTTATCATCATCCTTATTTTTATCATCATTATTATTATACTAT